AATGTATATTTAGACTGAGTTTGACATTACGGAAAAATCGCTAAAATTTTTGTTTCACTCGCAACTGCGTAATTGGGGGTTTTATGAAACATTAGCCGTGGTATTTTGAAATCTCACGGTGTTTCTATACACTCGACCGCAACATACAAACACTTTTGTATTTCTCAATGCATGGACTTTCTATTCGTAACGGATATGTTGTTAGAGTGAGTATGGTGGTATTAAGCGGATATTTTTAAAGCTCTACTCATGCACCTGTATTTACCCTGGGATGAAATAGCTCTTGTCAGCAATGGGAATATTTTTTTAAAGGATCAAATTAGTATCACTTACAAGAACCCAGTGGCGTAGCCAGCCCAAAATTTTGGGGGGGGCCAAATTTGAAAATTTTAGAAATTATATTGGGTTTAAAACACCGTTCTTCAAGCGCCCGTTCTTCAAGCGCAAAACAACAACAGTTGGTCACCAAGCAAACTGATTCAATTACTCAGCTGGATTTTTGTGAATACAAAATCCATTAATAAACAATTTTTTATTTGAAACCACAAATATTAACAACGCAATTTGAATAAGTAAAATACATCGCCCCAATTAAAAGTCCATCCTTCGCTTCCCGCCAACTATGCTCGACACAACTCGATTAATTTTCTCCTCGGTGACCATTTCACGGTGACAGTGAAGCACACACAAATCAGAAAGGCGATTAGACGTCATTGATGAGCGCAGCCATGTCTTTACCCGTTTCATGCATGAGAAAGACCGCTCAGCCTCAACGGTGGTTGCTAGTAGCGTCATAACGATCTGTATTGCGGTGTACACGCTTGACGAGACAAGATGCCACAAAACTGGTGGATTAGGAATGGAATTCTTGAAAATTTTGGGGGGGGCCATGGCCCCTCTGGCCCCCCCCCCCTGGCTACGCCTATGCAAGAACCTTTAAAAAAATTAAAATATTCAACTATTGTCTTTAGTGATATCGCTAACACTTCGATTCATTACTAATCATCTTTTAAATTTGTTGCCGAAACTTCAGATTTGCGTTTTATACAACATATTCCGAATTTAGAATGTGTGGTTGAAAATAGTATGAGTTCTAAAGCCTGGTGAGTGGGATAAAGTAAACTTTATTGTCGATACTGAAACACATACAGATAAGACTTTCGAGCCATTTCGGGGCCTAAGGCAACTTCCAATCGTCAGGACAGCGAATTGTTAAAAGCTCTGAGCGTAAGCCGAAGCATAACACGCTTGTATCTTCTCCTTTGACAACCAGTTGTCTTTTTCTTCTATTTATCTCTCCTCGGTGCGATGCGCATAATAAAGAAACTAACCGAGGAAGAGAAGGAGAACAGAGCGGTTCCTTTTTCTGTTACCTTGCATAAAACTGTCGCGTCCTCGGCGAAACATGATCAGCACAGCTGAGACCCGTCGGTGATGGTACGGGTGTGCGGGTTTGGCATAGCGCCGTGAAATCCTGCTTTAGGTTGCTTAGATTTTCAATATATTCGGATTTTGAAGAGATCAAATTAAATAATTTAGTTGAACAATAGATCGAATCAGTTTGCGCTATGGAGGTTGTACTTATTTAGTCTAACTTGGAGGCTTTAGTAAGATAATTATAGTTTGCTCAAGGACAAAGTAAAGATTGGGATATTCGGATTATGCATTTGTGCCGTCATTTTTAACGAAATGTGCCGTAGTGCTTGCTTATACTTGTCCGTATAGATAATTTAACCCGTGTGAGGCCCGGTTGATATATACTTGTGTAATTTTATTACACATCTAGCAAATAAGCTTCATCAGTCGAAGTCGCGCACGTGTTAAAAAGCATTCTAATACTTATTAAAGTTGGAGTGTACAGCCCAATCAAGATTAGAAAATAGAGAGAGAGAGAGAGTTAAGTGAAATTTAAGTGATAGCGCTCCGTGTATCAGTGTATGTAGCTCAGCTCAGCCTGTAAGCTTTGTGTAACTACAAGATACAGAGATACCATTTGTAGCTTTGCTGCATGCGTACGAGCAGATGGTACATCCTTTATTGCCATCCGACATCCTGCTCATAACGAATGCAGCATTATTTGCGTCGAACCGGCATAAACCAATTGAAAGAATTGAGTTGGCAGAAAAGGGAAATATTATGATGCAGTATTTCCAAATACAGCGTCGAGTATTGAAAATCATATCGCCTAACTCGTGAATAGTAAGTAATAGTATAATATTTTTGGAATTTCAACCGCAAATGTTATTAGCTTGTTATTAGCATTATCTTGTTTTCGCGACATTGATTTTGTTCTTATTTCTATTTTAACCCACAACATGTTCCTCGTGGACATAGTAGTCAGACATACAAATAAAATTGATGGTGTGGCAGTCAAAGATGTGTTTGTTTACTGCTTTGTTGGTGAATATTGGAGTTACTAATATACAGGGAATGATTTAGCGAGGTCCAGACTTTTTTCCGCTCTAGCCGCCGTCAACAAAGACTCGCGAAACTATTTTCCGTCTCTGACATAACAAAAATCACCCGTTCGGTTCCATCTCGTCCGTCTTTCCCGTAGACGGCCACGCGGGTGTCTTTGTCTCGGTGGTTCCCGGACCGCAGCCAGAACGATTCATTCACCAGGCCGAGAGAGCATGATTAATTCGACTTGTTTTGTTGAACGTGATCGGCCTCCACTAAACTATTTGAAATTGTGGGTTAGGTTGTACAAAGGTGCGTTGTAGAAATGATTGCGCCACAAAAACACGAGACAGCTTTGTCACGCAAGTTTTTATTTTTGTTTTAAATTTTTCAAATATTGGGACATTAAGGCCATTCAATAACCAAGCTTGACATAAAGTTGGAAATATTGCCTAGTCAGGCTTACTGAATATCATGTGAATTGAATAAAGTACCTCATTTCGAATATATGGAGTCAAACTGCCTATGTCGTCATAAAATTCGTCATGTATATATGACAGTATTACTCTTTTTAGTAAACCATTATGTCACCATTTACGTAATATTATCATAAAAACTGATTTCTTAAAAATATGCCTGTAACAAAATTTGTGCGCATTGAAGTGATAGGTTAATAGCGTTCAGATGTAAATTACTGTACGTTTCAACTGTAGAAAGAAGTATGAATATAAATCGATCACCTCGATGAACGCAACATTTTGAATTTTACATGAAAGTCTATCAGACCACAGAATAATAGAACAAATATACGGAAATCATGCATCCCGAAATTTTAATTTTTTTTTATTTAGAATGGTAGATCAACGGAGAGCGTGAAACGGCGTTCTTCGTCGGTGTCTTTGTTTACAATACGTCGTAAAGAAATCAAGCCTCGAGCAAACAAAACACTGCGTAATTTCCTGGACTTTGCATAACGTCCGCTCTCTCTATCTCGTCTTTTTTCGGTTATCAGTAACTATGACCAGGCAAATTATGAATCAGTTGAAATTATCACAAATAATGAGACATCAATAATAATAAAAATATGACTTAATGACGGCACTGTGTGTTATGTCTTAATATATCTCAAGACCAAAATTCGTGATGTCATTAAGTCATAAGGCTCTTGCTGAATCGTGTATATTGAACTCATGTGTATCAATGTTCGATAAGTTACTCGTTGTACCGAATTACTATAGATCTCTAAAATTGATTATTCATTTAATCACCTTGCTAAGTACTCGCATTAAAGTTGTGTATAGCGTTATTCAACTATAAGTTTCCCTGATTATTTTGGTGTAATATCAATATGCAAGCAAGGGCGCGTAATTCCCCATCATAGCGACGCACAGTGACGTCACATAAGAACGTGATTCGCTATTATGGAAATCGGCAAAATTAGCAGTTCAGTTTACAAAATCGTGCGTCAGTGCCGCACACATTTCTAATCATACGGGTTACGTTGCGCTATCTCCTTGTTTTTTATTGGAATTTGTTTATTTTTTCTTATAAACCAGTTTCAATATATCATTTGCTCTGTGGTGTTTGAGTGTTCTGTTTTCGTCGTATCGACGCAAAATTAATGGGCATCAAAAAGTTGAAATTCAACATACGAGACGACACAAAGCTCAATCAAAAGTGGTCTACAGTTGAAATTCAGAAAAACATGTTTACTGTTTAAACCGAAACGAATTTGGACCCAATTGATTGCTTTGTCATTTCTTATCGAAAGCATTTCTCTCATACATGTTACAAGTTTGTTTCGCTTTATGCATACTATATCCATAGTATCATCTATCTTTGTTTCGCAATATCGCTTTCGCGACAAACTCGACTGGGCGGGATTATCACCTGTTTCGGAACTAATTTTCATTTGCTTGAATTGAGAAAATCGCTTTCGACAGAAACCGTGTTTTGCTGAAGTTGCGGGTTGGATTAGGATTTTGATGAAATCAAAACAAATCCATTACTTCGTGCATACGCATTTCGGGGTCATAATATCACATTTTTCACTTCGTATTTATGAGAAAACATGTTAAAAAAGCATTCCGTGCTTTAGCAAATACACATACGCATGAACTCAGAACATCATGCTAGAGACTTCTAATCGTGTCGTCTGATAAGATGACAGCGCAATAACAATCTACCCAGGAAACAACAAATTGGTCTGCGTTACCTCAACTGCGATTCAAACTGCGCTGTTTATGGAGTTTATTTTAGGCAACGGGACAAATATTGTGCCGTACGCCGTCTCTTTGTGAATACGTCGGCTGGTACCTAAGAACAAAATACATTACGTCACGTGGCGATAGCTAATCGATGTAGAAGCATATATAAGGTTACATGACGCTGGTATCAGTGAATACTTCATATATGTGTAATAGGAATACTTGCTTTATATGCAATATATCTTGTTGAAATTTAGCTTCGATGTTATTGCTAGGCACGATGTCTTACGCATTGTAAATTTACAATTGCAAAAGTATTAGAAGGTACTGAAAATGACTGCCCGCAAACACACCACACCTGTCGTTCTATCAGTTATCTCTGCAACGATTCGTTTACGATAAATCGCGTAAATGTTAAAGAGGTACCGAAATGAAGTCGGGCGCTTATAATTACTAGGTATAGCTCGTAACGGGACGGTTGTTTTTTGTATTTGTTTATAGCTTAGTACGACGGGAGTTGTTTTTTCGCGAGTCACCCACACGGAGCAAGTTCGCTAGCAAGCAGATAAGGAGTACAAATGGTTACTTTTGAAGACCCGATCTTGTCTTTGTAACTAGCGAGTACGCTAATTATTATTATTATATTTTTCATCACGACAGACGCTGGTAATGGGTGCCTCTCGGGTAGAGACAAAATAGCGTAACGAGGCCGCATCAGCGGTGGCTTTCTTCTTGTCGTTGACAAGCCATAACCGTAAATACGAAAAAAAATCTTTAAATGTTGAAAAGAAAAAAGCCCACAGCTGGGCCGTAAACCATCATGCGAAATTATTTCCGAGCTCTGAACAATATTGATACCCAGGGAGACACGGGTGCGCTATTGACCATCGCAAGTGCGAAAGACCTTTATCATGCAAATCGCTGCGGTTATCGACGAAGTGCTATCTGCCACAGCTGAAGGCGTGTTAGATTAGATTTTAAAGGTAATGTGCTAAGAGGCGAAGAGCGAGATAGAACACCAGTGGTATATCAGTATATATTGCAACGTTGGCAGGCAATAACAACTAGTTGAAAAGTCATCAGCGTGTAGTATAGTCATGCTAACAACCTTCAGCTTCGAAAGGCATCACAATGTATATATAGATTGCGTCATAGATCAGTTGATTAACTGACTATACTTATTCTCAGTCAGTGATTAGTCACAGTTTCATGTATGGATTTTGGTGATTTTTGATAGATTTATATTTGCTGCAATGATGCTTTCGTCAGAATATACGCATACCGTTTCTAAAAACAAACTATGTGATGTCAATCTACTTGTGCATATGAGTAGACTTTCTAAACTTTATTGTTGTAATCAAGGTATCTAAAGTTTACAATAGCATGGTTTAGTTGGTGAAGGCAATTAATGTTTAAATGGCGGTTTCTGATTTTAGTAGTGATGTGAAGGTCTGTATCATGACCTTCTAATTTCGTACAGTGAAACCTTATTCTCGAAGGATTTAATGAGGTTATTCATTGGTTTCTACCACCAACTTGAACTTAAGTTGTGTTTTTATTCTATTATTTGACAGAAAAATTACTATACGAAACAGTCGTTTATATAGTATGCTTCACATATTTGCTGACTGCTACATTGTACTATAAAGCAGTAAAAATAAACTTTTCAGCTTTTCGAAATTTACCGATTATCAAATACGGAATGTCAGCTGATCCAGTCAGTTTTCCATTCCCTAGTTTTTATAACCATCAGTTTCTTCCATACTCAAGGCCGAACTTTTGGCTGAATTTTGCACAGCCTGAATTGTGCATTGGGGAAGGAAATATGGCGTCACAAGGCAATTACGTCACTTCTAATGTGAACAACGATGCTTTGGTCGTGTATGATGCAAGACAGAGTTCAGGCGTGGCCCGTTGTTTGAAGATCAACGCAGACAGGGTTCCGAAGGAAATTCCCACCAGTGATGCTTTTATTATGACTCCTCAAGGCCTCTTGCCGAGCGAGTATCAATTATTTGGTATCTCAAATCCGAACCCCTTGGATATTTACGCAACGGGCTTATCGAGCCACGGTAGCGGATCTTCTGTCTCGTCGAGCGTCGGAAGCCAAGACCCCACGCATAGCGGTAGTAATGTTATGCCGAAACCTTTGCACCGAGTACCCACTGTGCGGCAACAACACTATCATCAAAGACATCACGCACAAGCAAAGCACCCGCAAGCAAACAACTTGAAAAATAAAACAAGGTTTAGTGCTACTGGCTTGTCATCTAATTACATGGTTGTACGAGACACAAAAATGTCACTTTCCTCCGCTCCGTCGTCACCCAGTGCTGGTTCAGTGGGTGGCAGTTTGGGCAATAATTATCATTTGCCTCCAACTCACTTGCCAGATTCTAACGCTTATTATAGACAGCAGTACAAGGGTAGTTCGTCGTCATCATCGTGCTGCTCAAATTCAGGACTTAAAATATCTTCTTCCTCGCAATCTTCCTACTCATCGTGCTCCTCACTCTCATCGTCACCCTCAGTAAATGGAATTTCTCCACGAAAGAGAAGAGCTGATGATGTCATTAACAATAACAGAGAGGCTTACTGCCGAAAAGAGTATTATTACCGCCAAGGACCTGGCGGCCAAATCATAACGCTGTGTTCGTGTGAGGTTTGTGCTACGGATGAAGTCACTGCTCGAGTAGATGACGTCACAATTCGTGATTCACGAACAACGGAAGAACATGGACAACAGCAAAAACGATCAAAGAACGACGACGACGTAGTTTTTGTTTCTGCACAACTTCCCAGACCTCAGCAATCACCCAACATTCCTATTCCGAAAGAGCGACCAGCCAGAAAAGCCAAAAAGTCTTCCAGAAAGGCTGTTAATCGTGCTGCTCCAGTGGCACAGAATGCTACCTCTCACAATAACTTTCCATTTGTAGTTCCAACGACGACATCTTCTGAATTCTCAGACCAACAAAAAGACAATGTTGGCCGATATTATCTCAGAAGCGCTGTCAAAGGCCGCAAGCAGGAAGAGATGGTGGTCAAGTACGCCACAGATGTCCAGGTACAACACGAAAACATCCATTTGGTGCAATCAATAGTCGCCCCCGTCGTTGCTCAAAGTGATCAAAACAATAACGCTGAGGCACAAAGGCATTACAATAAAGGTACAGTTGGGAATAACACTCCACGCTACCACACCCGTAGCCAACAAAAGAAGGCTAAAGCTGATAACAAATCGAAAGTTCGAAACCAAAAAAGTGATGTCCAACAACACTCCAACGCACAGTACAATCATGTCATTGTGGCGACCGAGACTAACCCCTCTGCTGCTCCAAATACAAGCTCTTCAAGTGTCCAGCAAGTACCAGAATGTAAAGCGCAGGCGCAACAGTACGTTCCTACCTCAACCGAATCATCACCAGCAGCCGAGGGATCAAAAGATACTCCGCGATCTTCTTCATCTTTGAAGAAATTGTACGACATTCACGGAATAATTGGAGTCGGAGGAGGCGGCACCGTATATGCAGGTCAGTATTTTATTTTGTGTTTCACAAATTAATGTAAACAATGTTTGTTAAACATGCTGTTGAAATATGTTATGATTCGTCCCGACCTTCAAATTTGAATACCCAAATATCCGGATTGCTCGCTGCATGTAAAATCGATTTTCAAGCCAGCGGATCAAAACAGGCAGGCAAGTATTACTAAATAATACGTCATCTGCAAATGTGCAAAAATGGGAAATCGGTTTATAACCGATATTGTTTTTTTGTGGTCAGTAACCTCGGTCGAGGGTTTAACCTGTTTCACGCATCATAAGTAGTGTAGTGATATTTGGTTTTAAGTTTAGTTTCACCGTTACGACAGAGAGTGCCGTTAATCGGAATCGATCCCCACGTCGCGAAAAGTAATTAGCGGCTTCTTCGCGAGGTCGTGTCAATGGCGCTCACTTCGCCCCGCTGAGTATTTTATTACCACAAGGCTGCATCCACCAATAACCAAGTCTGCAAAGCTGTTGATCGGCTTTCGCCCAATACGCGATGTCGTGTATTTCACGTTTCGTTTCGGCAGCTTGACACATTGCCTGCCATATGTCGACGGTGCCCTTTTGCTCGTTCAATCTCATTAAGTCGCCAATATCGCGACTCGTTGCAAATCGATGTCAGTAATTGAGACCCAATATGTACTGATTCGGAAACTTCTTACTTACTGTTATAAAACTCAGTAAATTTGCTTGATTGTTTCCGTATCTCAAATGAAACGCTTTGATTTCTGACAACAAAAATTTAAAATTATGGTGCTTTCACAACTGAATCAGCATTCACAAAGTTATTGCAAAATCCCCTAAACAAAGACTGACCGACGCGACCTGACCCGTATGCCACAGTCTTGCAACGTGCCTAAGTCGCATTATAATACTACAATAGAATAAGCACAGATAAAATTCAGATCGAAAATCCAATGCCACAACTTTCCATATTTTCCACGAAACTTCTTTTCTACCGCGTCACGTCTACAAAGTATTTAAGTTCATAAGTGGGAAAAGACCTTCGTACTAGGTATAAAACAACGTTCACATTATTTCCTAAATCATCAATCGAAAATGGAATGTAAACCACATCGAAAGTATTAATTTTTCGTAAACATACTGTTAATTAGATACCAAAAAAACAATTTGAATTAAAATTGGATAAGAAATTTTCGATTTCTATTGCGGTTTTTCGTTTTTACACTGGCTGTTGTTTCTAGTGATAATACCAACTTTATGAAGTTTCTTATATTTTTAAGAAAACAAGTTCGATATATACACTTGAATATTTCAAAATCGCAACTTTTTTGTATTTGATTCTTCATGAAATAGTTTTAACTGTTTTCTCACGTTGCTATTTCGACGTTTTTCGGTCCAGTAATCGGTTTGCTTTCAACGTAAGTTAGAACAGAAGAGAGCGAAGATCAATCATATCGTTTTGGGTTTCCTCTGAGATCGGATTAACTTACCAGTAGGTTTTTTTCATCGCTACTTTAAAACGGATCGAACTATTTTATCGTTCGAGATTACGTTTCGTACCTTGGTGTTATTTGTGATTTTCGGCCCTATGTTTTTTGTGCCGCGACGAATTAATTGTCGGACTAATTGTCTATTTGACCTTCGACTGCAATTTAATTTGCTCAAACAAATTTCGCAACTGATGATTGTCTTTTAAATTGGCGTATCATAGTTGGGCCGTGACCAATTTCTGGTTATCGTAAATTTGAACACGATAACTTTATGATTTGGGCTAGTTTATAGGTGTGCCGCGTAGGTATGAATAATTCACTTGTTATATATTACTATCCACACCTGCCTGTCTGAAAACACAAAGATCGGATGGCCAGAGTTTAAACACAAAATACCGCACCAAACGAACGCAGAACAAAGAACGAATATGAAAACCTACGAGTAACACGACAGGACTTCCGTACGAGTCACATTATATGAAATTGTGGGCATTGACTAAAATAAACTTTGAAGAGAAGTGGCGTCGGCCTCGACGACGGGAACGAGTGTTGATGCGTGTTCCCGCGATTGTATTACACGGTTATGTTAAATGTGTTGGGCTTGTCTGTCGATATCATTGGCTTATGTAAATTTATCGATGTACATAGAGTTATCCACATAAATGCAAATATACGGATTTATGAAACAGACAACGCATATTTTGTTGCGAATTGAGTCCAAAATAACTTTATTCTTTCCATATGATCAAATTCACATCCGTTTAGAAAATCTGGAATCGAGTCGTGACTGCTTCTGCATTTGAAATTCGGTGATTTTACAATCGATCGTAAACATTTAAAGCGCTGTCTTTTGTTCACTGTGCATTAAACTGTTTTACAGCTTTATACGTTATTTCAATGTTAGAAGGTTCTAAGCTTGTAAAGCACAATGAAAAAGGCAAATTAGATCATGTTTGTCAAGGTCGTTTACAAAGGGATCATACATATCGCAAGTAAACGCGACACCGCTTGTTATTTTACATGCAAATGCGAAACTCCAACTCAATGACGGTGCAACATTGTTGATTATTCTTGCTTTCGCATTCTATTTACTCTTTTCTTCTAAAGCGTTTGTGGGAAATATCTTCGGTGTGGAACTGTTTATCTAAAATTGATATAATACCGACATACTATATATTGTTTAATTCGATAAAGAGTCTAACATTCAAATGCGAGGCAAAATAGGTTCACCTCATTTATTTTATAACAATATTTTTTCAAATGCTAGTTTGTATCGTTGGAGAGATTGAAGTATTGATAAGAAATGTATTCTTATGCAATATTGCGCTATGTCACCGATGCCCTTGACTCCCCTATTTATCTCGAAATCCGGTGTGAGAATATGATTTAATGGGTATTAGAGTTCGAGTGCACGTAATAACCGGATTTTCATCAAATTAATCACGCGTTAGTCGGCCGTCTTGGCGAAATAATACGATGCTCGCCAAATTCATTCAATCGAGATGTTCATTTGTCTAAGGAGCTTACACGTCAACAACATGCGCGGTAATCGTGATTTGACATTAATATTATTAATACAGTGCATTCTTATTATTGCAATTCTAATATCCGGGTTGTCCTTTTTAAATTAAATTTCCGCAGTCTGTTTATTTTTTGTAATTTACTCCTAAGGAAATAAACTGCGTGTCAAATTTTAGTGAGAAATTTATTATTAGACTTCTTAACAATGTGGCGTTTAGGCCGAGCACTCGGGTCAGACATCCACTAGAAATAAATTCTGACCTTTTGTTGTTTCTAATGAAACTAAATTACGTGGTATTGAAATACGACTCAAATTGCTTGCATTATTGCACAGTATTACCGAGTTTAAAAAATATAGCGATATTGAATTTAAAAGCTTTGTTGTGATTGCTTATCGTATTCGATGACCATATGCGTATTGTTTACTTCATTCGACGTGGTGGTGACTAATTTTCGATTCTACGTGGTATTTAACGAGTTTTTGGTAACACGAACATCGCGTATGGTTAGAGGGTTTAATGTTACAAGAGTTTAAACTTATTTAGGGCTAATACTTAAATTAAACTTTTAAGCTCATCAAAAAAGGACTTTCTCAGAATTACACAATATGAAACTTCCTACGCGTTTTGCTGATTTTTTTAGGATTCTATATTCTCTGCATATTGTTTTTTGTTATAGTTTGAAAATTTATCGGGTGTCGCCTGTGTTTTATTTTAAGCATACAGGCGTGCACCGCCCGCACCCTCGATTCTGTCTAAAAATAGCCTCAGAAATAATATGGTATGTGTGCGTCTACGTAATGACGTGTGCGTGATAAATTCTCTCAAACTTTGACGCACTCTCTCGTTTTATTAGGAAAGCGCATAACCAGAAATTGGTATTTTCACGTTACGCTACATCGGGTACCCTGTTAAATATAACAACACGACAACATATTTAGTGTGCGTTTTAAAATAGAACATTCAATGCCATATTCGTTATTACAAATACTTAACAAATAAATTCTATAAATAGTGATCAATTTGTTAAAGATAGTTCTATCTATTTTAGTAATTCTGTACAGCAAAATTTGGCCATTTGTAACTAAAATCGTGTCGGAGTCGTACGTGTTCTATTAGAAGCATATTTTCATAAATTTTCATATGATCGTAGTGAAAATTATAGTTAAATCATATAGGCTAAAGCAACAAATGCTAGATAATATAATCAATACAGACCACAAAATGTCATTTGGCTACTTAAACTCGACAGCTTTGGTCCACTTTTCCCCTTTATAAAATATTGATCAACCGTAAGATTTGCAATGTCCGTTGTCCCCTGGGCATCGTAATGCGAAATACAGTTGCTACGAACATTGCCCGCGGCGGATGGAAAAATGAGCTACCCAGAATATCGAATTGGCATTGGCACTTAGGAACGGTAATCCAATGCTTATTTCAAATTAAATGACTTTCGTTTGTCGAATATCGGCCTCTTTCACATATAGTAATCAACCTGGTTTAGAAATGTAGAATCGATGCCTTGTCGTTTTGTTATTGGGAAAAACCACTCCCGTGGTGTTGGTGGTGACTATTGTTTGTCATATTTTATATATTGTGAATTTGTTTTCTATTGTTTGTGGGCGTCGGCTGGAGGATTTTAAAGCTTTGTCTACTCAAGAGCATTGCGCTTAAATATAAGCGTTCTTTCCACAGATGAAAAAGCTCAAAATGAATACCAGTCATTAAGCATCAAATCTAATATCTTTTTAATTTACTTTCCAGGTACCAGAAAAGCTGATGGCGTCCAGGTAGCTATCAAGCAAGTTCCTAAAGCCAAAGTAAAGAGATGGGGAAAACTCAATGATCGTGTGGTACCCATTGAATTTGAGCTCTTGTACCGTGCCTCACACGAGAGACATACCGGTAAGTTTCTATTTTTAGGTTTTAAACAAAACACTTATCATGATTTCGTAATTGGTATTACCATTTCTGAAGTGTTTTCAATCAAATAATAATAGTGTCGTTTTAAATGCATCGATCTTTATTATTTTGAACATACTTGTAGTAAAATGTCATTTACCAAATTCAGTGCTGGATGAAGATAGTTTGCACAATATATTTTGTTGTCTATGCAACGCATTTGGTCACTTATTGACCCGTGTCAGGTCTCTGGGCTTTGTGATGTCAGCAAGAATGTATAAAATATGTTTCTATTTTGGTTTACAGGAATCATCAACATGCTAGACTGGTACGAAAGGCGTAGCACGTACATTCTGATAATGGAGCGTCCTCAGCCAGTTATCGATCTTTTTGACTACCTCAACCAATATGGTGCCTTACCAGAAGCGAATGCTCGTGCTATCTTCCGTCAGATCGCCGAGGCTGTAATCCACTGTCACGCCAACGGCGTCGTTCATCGGGACATCAAGGACGAAAATGTTCTTTTGAATCTCCATACCTCCGAAGCAAAGCTTATCGATTTTGGTTGCGGAACCGTCTTGAAGGTAATGACCTAATGGCATCTGCTGCTCTTTATTGTTATTAATATCTTGATCACGATATTAATGTGAACCCATTCACAAATTTATCTTCTCAAATTCCTTTCATACGCACAGACCGTAATGAAATTGTGCTATTATGAATTGATTTATGCCTTTCCCATGCTTAATCGACAGTGAGGATTGTGAGCTAAGCACACGATTGATTATATAAATTGCTTCCCTGATCAATAAAAGTTATGCGCTGTGTCTCGGTGATATAGCAAATTACAATGCCCAATGCTAAAATTGATTATTGTTTCACAGAACACGCCTTACACCGAATTTGCTGGCACTCCAGAATTTTATCCACCTGAGTGGTTTACACATCGCCGTTACTACGGACATCGCGTCGACGCTTGGTCACTAGGAGTACTTCTATACACAATGGTCGAAGCCGAAGTACCCTTCCAAAAAGAAAAGGATATAGTTGAGTGCAATCTACGCCACAAACGTGCCGCCCATCTCAGTGATTCGTGTAAGCACCTGATAGCTTGGATGCTACAAAAAGACCAGGATATGCGACCTACCATTGAGCAAGCACTTGCCCACCCCTGGTTTCAAGAATGCGAGACCGTTCCACCCAGGAACACACCCGCATCGAAAGCGGTCGCATCCGGGGTTATGGGCACTGACGAACTTTACGAAAAGCGTCTTCACAATCACCAAAATGGAACCAATGCAGCTTCGAAGGGCGCTGGCACTTGTCACGAAGTAGCCTCTGTCGAATCTCCGGAGAGTCCGCCACGATATATAGCACAGGAAACGGTTTTGTATCAGCCGCAGACGACCAACTGTCAAGCGGCGCACCGAAACGGCGTCGTTTATCATCAAACCGAGTACGCCGCTCGATGACAAACAACTTGAATAAAATCAGTACGATACAACATTAAGAACTGCTGAAGCGAACAAAATGATAATATTGCAACACATGCCGCCTCAACATAATGGGAAAAGCGTCATTGCCAATAAAGTGATCTGTACCAGGCTAGCCAAGCGTCTGCGGTCTTCCAGAGCAATTTCATGACACGATACGAAGCAGAAAATTAGCAGCTGTTCTTTGTTATCATGTTTTCGTTAGTTTGTCGACTACAACAATCTGAAAAAATATCAATGATTGAAGGAGTGGAATGTCTGTATTATTTATATATTTCATCGTTAATGATTCAGCTCTGCATGTTATTCTATTTTGTCCTTATATTTCTTCACATCAAAATTAAGGTTTGTTAGTAAGTGTTTCGTGTTGTTTGGATGTCACATTGCGCATTCCGGTCATTACTAAAATACAATGATATCTTTCGATAAAACTTGCGTTTATTTATAGCCCAATAATTAATTATGAGCCAGAAATAGAATGCAATACTAAGTCACATGTATTAAACTCTAAATAATATTAATTATTATCAAAGATGATCATATCCTAACGCGATCCATCATTGCCTTATAAATGGATACAGTATTGAATTCGATTTATATTTGGAAACTGTAATTCACCGGTCATGTGTTTCCAATGCTGGTATCTCACACACAAAGCACAACAACACTAACTATGGTTCTCCTCCACTTAATCCTCTTCCTATCTATTTCTCTCACAAAAACATTTTTCTTTGTTTTGCACATCTGCATCCAACACTTCCATACTAATATGAACCTATACCACTGTGAAAGACGTCATTTGCAAAAAAAAATTTGATTTAAAGTGTAATTGAAATTTAATTTGTCATGGCAAATCATTTTCGTTAAAACAGCTCAACTTGCCCTCTCCCAACTCTAATTTATTGATTGGACTTTTCTGTTAGGTTTCCGCAGAATAGCTTTCCAAGCCTATAATAAATAGTAATATAATAATATTATTTATTTGACAATATTTTGACGTCGCATTTTCTGCGCTTTCTTTATACATCATATTTTCTTCACTCTTTTGTCCAACTCTAAACAGGTATTTATTTAAAAACAATTTAACTTAAATAATATTGATTGATGAAATGTAAACTTTGATTTTTATATTTAAAATGAATTTTGTTTTGCTCATATCTCCTATATTAAACATATGTACAATGCAAAAGCAGTACAGACATCGTTTTGATAGCGATCTGTTGCATGTCAAGTCCACGTCTATGAAAATGAATTGATGAATTTTCCATCAAAACTGGCGCTTGGAACTGCCAAGTACTGGCTGAAGACAGGATAGACTGTAACTGTAAAACTTGTCTCAGCCATCTGTTAAATGTCCCTTCCATATGTGCTATATTGCCCTTTGAAACATAACTTAATCCACTCCCGAGCACACGTACTTTTTCACTTTGACTATTTGATTCCTTCTGTGTTGCGCGTCTATTTAACTTATTTTTTCGTGGTTACTGTTACAATGGGTAAGCAATGTGCCTGTTTCGAAAGGTACAATTCGTTGAGCGGATCTGTGCGTTTTGTAAACTTGCGAAGTCAGGGAGCAAAAAATGTCGTCGTTCGAAATGACAAGTACATTTTTTTTTAATTTATTTCTTTTGTGTGTATTATTATGCCCACAGTATTGGGCGTTACCGTTTATGCTTCTAAATTTTGCGATTATTCTTATTATTGTTGTAATATTCGAATACTTATTATTTTGTCTTGTTTATTTCTATTATTATCTATTGCAATTTCGTGTACAAACCTTTTCTCGATTTTTGATGAATTTACATTTGTGCTTCGTTTGGATACAGGAAGCCTTTATCATGGCGAATAAAAAACATTGAAAACCATATTTCTCACAGTGTTTATTCAGCAATTATTGCAAAAAAGATATACCGGGAGGGTTAGGTGATCTGTATCTCATCATTGCGATTTAAGACAAGGACGGCAGGTGTACAGTTACAGCAGCGCTAGCAGCCGTGAAGTTTGAAGAGTTCATTGTTGATTTTCAGTTGAGTATACGGCGCCACATATATTTCCCGCAGTCGAGTAATGTGAAGATACTTGCGTCAGTCAGATCATAATTGCCTGAATGATGAAAAAGTACATGACCTTGCCATTAAGGTAGTTTTTATTCTTGCCTTGCTTGTGTTCATTCAATTCTGCTGCAATTGATATGCCTTATCAGATCTGCAGTAGTTTTAGCGCTGAGGTTAAGCTCGATTGTTGTTGGTTTTGGGATTTTCGCTTATGCCGAGCATACGACAATATTGCATATTATGTTGATGCACAGGGTCATCGATAAATAGCTTGCACCACAGAATTTTACTTCGAATTTCCCCTCATTCCTTGACGTGTAGATGGCAAGTCGGCGTCGTTCTCCGTAATGCTATTTTGAACATAGGACATAATAATGTTGGGCTGTTTTTCTCACTGAAGTTTGAGATTATGAGATTATGTAAAAAATTTGAGATTATGTATTTTGGTTATGTTCATCACGTCAGTGAAATATTAATCCAACAAAACGCATCCTTTATCACTCGTGAATTAAATTGACAAAACCCCTAAAATCAAAGAAATTGTCAATTTCGCCCTGTAATCGGCTTATATGATTTCGTTGATTTGTGCGCAAATATATTGTAGAAATATTGAAAGTGACGTCTTCGCCTTTCTAGCAACGTCACTGGCCCGCTAAAAACGTAAAATCAAAGATCACTTTTGTGCGTCCATTTATTTAACAGCGACATACAAATTTAACACAAGAAACTGAATCAAACGAAATTTTATTCGGGGAAGGACTGTCTGTTGCTATACCAACGTACGGAGAAATGCACGTCACAGACTTTTCATAGCTTTGGGTTCTAGATATCAAATGCTAAATTATAATGATTATACTAAATAATATGCTCATTGGCATTTTGTTTTGTAGACAGCATTTACGAGGTGAAATAATTTAAGATTTGATATCGAACTTTCCCTATTTGGTGGCAAACCGACCTTGAGAATGCAAAAAATATTTTTCCATTCAATTTTTAGAGCGTCAATGACCTTGTATCTTAAGAATATAGAAAACGTAAAAAAGTTGGCTGAAATGTATTGGAATTGCCATACAAAACGAATGTTAAGCAAATATACAGCTGTTATGCGCACAAAGAAAGGTACTACACGAACTATTCAAGCTATAATTTTTATGCTAATGATTTGGTTTCTGCAGGACTGACTACTCATCCTTCTGTGCTTTTGCATCAGCTGTATCATTTTTATTACGTAAATATTGAGATAGTGTCGTTTTCTAGGAATTTTAACGATTCCTACTAGCAATCGTATTCAAGAGAGTTTCGCAAATATATTGGAAACACGTAAATCGAAACATTAGTACCCTCCCAATCGAGAAAGGACGTCACTTTTTGCTGACGTTGATCAATGCGTGAGCCAATACAAACATATACATGCACGTTCCTGGAAATACCTTGGCGTCTCATTGCTCGAAAATGCACAGCTGTGATCATTTCAGTTTTTGAAACGCAAACGCATTCCAAGACCTTCAATATATTCTGGGAAATTTGCGCAGAAATGTGCAGTAACTATTTTGTCATATATTGATAGCTGTAATCGTTGCAAGGCAAGTGCAAATTATAACAATGTGTGCGAGTGTTAAAAATGACGTTATTTTAGAGTAATTCGCAATACACCGAGTTGCAAATTAAGGGGTTGTCTACCAGGGAGATATAGAATATATTGCCTGTATGCTGATCAGTCAAAATTGTTTTTGTCTGGGTAGTCGGTCCTTTCTCTGGTTTTTCAAAACTCGAACAAACAGATAGTTGTAGACTTCGACGCTCGATGATTAGCATGTCTGACGTTATTGCTATCATGTTAAGTTTTTTTAATCTTTGATTTCGCCTTAGTTGGTCCGACTATATCCAAGCTTGACCGCCACATCACCTATGCTAGGTCGTGATGAAGTGGGAAGGACTCGAAGACAAATCGCCACGAATACACAACTCAGTAGATTAGTGTTCAGAGTGTTCATAGCTATAAAGAATCGAATCACTATTACTAAACTTTTTTGTTTTCACTTGTCGGCTGCGGCAAAAATGGAATGTACGCTGCCGTTTCAATCAATTGCTTTCAGCGAATTCTCACTGACTGATAATGGATAGACCTGTTGAGTCGAATATGTGAAGCATGTTTTTTACATCATCTTGTCGGATTTCCTGACATAATTTTTCTGTGCAAATATCTTTTATCGGAACCGTTGGAACCACGTGAAGCATTCTTAATTCCTGCATATGTTTTCCGTTATAAACGACATTGTGAGATAACTTGTTTACCACGGAGAGACTTCTTGTCAGCGTTATTTTAACGGGAGAAATTGACTCACGTGCGAGTATTCCTATTGCTTGCAAATATTCCATTTATTGCGAAACAGAATAAAAATAAATGTTTCTTGTAGACAATGAGTTTATATATTTCTGTGCCTTTGAGCATGATTACTTTTTGCATACATCCCTTTCGACATACATGCATCGGGCTATTGTTTGTGAATTACAATTAGCAATCACATAATGTCATTATCAAAATACTAAAACGGTTATAATTTTTGGCAGAATCACCTAGGACCCGAAATTGGTTATTACAATATAATTCGATTAGTAATGAAGATGGATATATGGCCCCAATCACAATCAAATGCCCTCTTTCGCAGAAGGCGATCGGGCAGCCATATGAAGCAGATTCGATTCGAAGCAGCTACACAATATATACGAGACTTTTTCTTTAAGTGATTTTAAATGTCTCTAAATGAAAATGACGATTAATGGATAAAATATATTATATACTAATTAATTAACGCATATGCCCGAAATCAATAGTTTATCGAGCCTTTCCAAAGAGCCTATACGAGTCTTTAATAACCCATGCAACAATAACACAACAACCTGGGTTATCTAGCCTTAATCTTACTTGCGCGTTTCCCTTTTCCGGAATGACATCACCAACTCTTCCTAATAAGGGCAGTAAATGAGAAACCCGACGTTAACCAGCCAGGTAGATAGGTAATGTTGTCGAATCAGTTACATCCGTCTCGACTTCAACGATGAATCATCCAATCTGTGCGGTAGCTTACTGTCTCTAACAGAGAACTAAAATGAATCTTTAATTTAAAAGAGACTAATTGTTCATTTTTGCAATCTCGTGTAATTCTTATTTTGGATAATAGCTTTACCAACAGTGTAAAGAAGAGACTGTACCGTGATGAAGTATGCCGTTAATTTATCCCGAACAATAATAAATTATAAATTTACTCTAATAAATAACGAGATAAATTATTCAGATAACGAGTGAAATCCCCCCCCCCCCCCATCATATTATCTTAGGCGATCAAAATAATAAAAGAGCTACACATCTCATTCAAACAACCTTCGATAATCTTGTCCTAACGGTGGCATAGCACCGCCGAGAGGATTATGGTGCAATTGCATTCTATTAACTCAACTATGTACGGGTGGATTCCAGTGGGCATTTACAATTTTATTAGACCGAGAGCCACAAGTCCATATCGAGCGCTTGTGCAGTTTCATAAAGAAAGACTGTTGCATAAGGCACGCCACAGGATTTGAAAGATTCGTCAAACCCGCGTGTGACCATTTATGTACCGGATATATCAAGCACAATTTATATTTGCGTCAAAATACAAGCCTCGTGTTATTATTTATGAGTGAGCATGTGCGATAGCCGATATTAATAACAAAGCCATTGTATTTTGCTTATGTTCTATCTATGGAGAATACAAAGCAGTAACTGTTTTTTTTACCTCGTTTCACTTGCTATTTCAATATGCCCTTTATTAACATGAAAGTACGTGTTTCCTTCGCCGTCATTCTTAAGTGCTGGTTTGTAAATAAGTAGCTTTATCTTCTGAGAAAGGACAGAAGTGATATCGAAGTATCCTCAATGGCGAAATGAATCAAGCGGTTATGTGTAGCCGCCCTTATCGACGTCATATAATCGCTCTCAAAACGACGAAACCGGTGATTATTTCATTTTATGGTATCTGCTTTTTTAATGATATTAAAAGATCCTTCGTGGTTCATTGTTGCGGTAAATTACGTGGGAAATAGCTTTAAATAAAATAGTATGATCGACCGTTTGTATGAAAACTTTATTTTTGTTAAGAGATAAAGAGGCATACTCTATTGATACTATTATTTTTGTCATATGTGTTTGGTAATGTCTATCATCACATGTACACGATATTCTGGATTTTCATAAAGTTTTTCATTTGCAGAGGGAATCTATTGATACCATATAGTTTGTTGTCCCTATAAAACTTAAATAAACACTTATTAACATAATATCGAGAACTGACTTCATAACAAAATTGATATTGTAACAAGACTGATACTCTGTATATCCTCTTGCTCGCTGTCGGTGTCTATTTGTGAGAAGTTTAAAGCGAACATTTTAAAATACTATTAAATATCATTTAATTTAATGATTTTATCTCACCACATACGTTTTGTCTTCCACCCTAATGTTAAATATCCTATTATGGGAGACATTGGAAATCGACATCCTGTGCATACGGAAATGGTAGGATGTGGCCTTTACGGGTCGTTTACGCCCAGTCTGCGTTGCCTAAAGAAGTCAATATTCTGACGTATGGAAACACAAACAAGACCTTTCGCGGAGTTCGTTATCATATGTTCCCGTTGATTGACGCCGGTATAAATTCGAGCTATTGCTGATTGGCATAATGTACGCGACCAGAAAAGCTGTAATTATTTTATTAGGCGTTCTCGGAATTTGCTAAAGTTGTGTATGTTATTGTAATGGGCATCATATTATCTG